CTCGAATAGATATATAGACTGAAATTAATTGAATAAATTACTTCCTTTTTATAATAATTAAACACAAATGTTGAGTTTTATGCATTTGATATAACTCTTATATTTTTATGTGAATATAATTTTCTGTTTGTCTGAAATACAAAACTGTTGTTCATGTCACTCATACTGCTTATTGCCAGACAGTATAATTCCAACCACATTGTTTTTTTTTCCCTTAGGGAAACAAAAAAGAATGCAACATTGTTTTTTAATCATATAGTTTATCTTTCATGTGTCAAGATTATCACCCCATATATATTACATTATTCTGGCACAAGGCCACCAGTTTGAAGAATCTAGTAAAGGTCTATTCAGCTAGCTTACTCTATGTTCAATCCCATATAACTTAATAATGTGTGTTTATGTACATATAACAGATCCACTCCATTTTCCTGTCTCATCATCAGCTTTATTTTGTATCCAAGAATTTAATTTCCTCTTTTCTTATTGCTTCCTTTATGATGATGGCATTGATGACTAAATAGGCCAATTCTTGCATGGAAGAGCTGATAGCATTGACGGCATGGTGGAGAACGAGGTCGATTTTGTTGAGCCTTTCTCTCTTATTTTTTTCACTTCTTCCTTTTCTCTTCTGGTGGCTTCAAAGTTTTTGGTTTCAATGGTGATGGAAAATTGCCAGTTGGTACAGGGTATTGCATGTTTCAAATGATTTAGGCTTCAGTCCAGTGCCTTTCAGTGTTGTTTTGAGTTGGTCCTTGTATCTTCAAAGAGGGCAACCCTGTGGTCTTTTCCCTGATGTGAGCACACTGAATAAGACTTGACATGGAAGCATTGACACTTCCATTCTTGCTACATTGAAGACAGTGATTTGATGATTTGACAGTTGGCTCTTTCCAGGACTTTGGTGTTGGTCACATAGTAATTCCATTTGATATTCAAGATTGCACAAAGCTTTTGCTGGTGAAAGCATTCTAATTTTTGAATATCATGACAATATAGAGTGCAGGTTTCACAAGCCTATAGCAAAGTTGAAATGACAACAGCTTTATAGACCATAATATTCATTAAGTTCATATATATATATATATATATATATATATATGAAGAAATATAGTTTTAAGGTGTGCTATATTTATATTTATGTGGCCTGACAATTGTGCCTATCATGAAACAGTCTGTCACCCCTGAGTGTTGACTTCAATGTTCACTTATATATGTAATGATTGACATACAAGCCTGTTTTGCTGAATCACAGCTCATCAGTGTGGCTAGACATCCAATTGCTTCAAGTGGGATTGAAACGTGTGTGATTTGGCATCAGTCAGAGATTCTACCTCTAAGCTATTGGTGCATGACAGAGAAAGGGAAATTTTTAATGTATTATATATGTGACGTATACAAACAGCAGTAGTCAATAGCATCCAATTCATAACTGAAGAGCTATGTGTTAATAGCAGAATCAGCCACTGTTTTTTTTTAAATTACCCTTTTTCTAGAGTGCTGAATGAGGAAATTATATATATATATGTATGTGTATGTATGTATATATATATATATATATATATATATATATATATATAATATCCTGCATCTCTTCTAGATGGTCTTCTTGTTTTTGCTGGTGAATGATGCGATAATCCCTGCCTTCAGTTCATCTTTCTCACTCAACTGCACCCAACACATAATAATCCTCACCAACAAATTCAAAAGTTCTTATTAGAATGATCAGAGTGAGTTTTCCTAACTGTTGTACCTTCATCATCACCATTAGATTCATTCAACTCTTTCCAAATCCTCTGCACTGACACCCAAACACTCTGAAATGTCCTATTGGACCTTCTGCTGTGAATACCATGCAGTACAGCATGCTGTTTCTAAATTTCTGGCAGAGTGAATTGCATCATGGTGCCCAACTGACCCTACTGTACTGTGCTGTCAACAAAATCAAAAACGACGCACATGCATGAAATTAAAAATATAAAGTGGCTACAATTTATCAATTGCACCCTCTCTCTCTTTCTCTCTCTCTCTCTATATATAATATTTGGTCAACAAACTGAATTTATACATATTTCATGACAGACAGTTTTTTTTCTTACTTTGGGAAAAAATGCTGGTAACACCTTAGGAATACCTTCCCTAAAATTCTATGGTGCACCATTGTTATCATTTTTCTCATAATTTCCTCTCATAACTCAAATTGCTTTCATTTCAGCATAGTTTTTAAATTGGGGAAGAGCCAGAAGTCACATGGTGCAAAGTTGGGAAAGTAAGGAGTGTGTCGAATAAGTGGTGTGTTGTTCTTGATCAGGTTTGATCAAATCTTCTGATAAAATGAAATGCCCTGATCCTTTGCTTATTTCCAACTTGTGAGCAATTTCCTTGATTGTTATGATTGTCTTCCATGACTATTTACTAAATCTTTTAAATTGGCTCCTTGTTTCATTTTGTGGATGGCCTGCCTAAGTGTGCTTCACTTGTCACTGAGGTGTGTCCATGTCTGAAGCAGTTGTACCATTCTTTGATCTTAGTTTTGCCCTTGTCATTATCATCCAAGGCCTGCTGAATCTTCTGGATGGTTTGAAGCTTTTGGCAAAACTTGATACAATAACTCTCTTCCATATCTTTGGTCATCCTGTTATCATTTCAACTTTGCTATAGGCTAGTGTACTTCCTGCTCTTCCCTACTACTGTGACAATGCTTCTACTTATTCAAGCTTTTCTGTTCTCTGTATGAGTATTTAATAAACCTCTTCTTTGTTTTCCCTCCCCAGTTTTCTGTTCTTTCAATGCTCTAACTATGGCCTTCTTAAATCTCAGCTATTTTGAACAACGTCAACATTACAAGAGTATCTGACTTTATTTTTACTAACAAAACTAATGCTGTGTGGGCAAAATCCTTTGAATGGGAGGTAACAACACCTTTCAGTGCATGCATTAAAATTTCCACATAAGTAGCCTACATAAATTCCCATTTGTTACGTCAAGAGTACAGACAGTACATGCTCGTCAGGTTTCCCTTTTCTTTCCCCCCCTCTTTTTAGTCAGTGTATACATTTTTTGTCCTCAATTGGCTCTAAAGAGCAAAGAACAATAACGGGTTAGCCCTATTTTGTTATTATATGTTTTGAGTATTTTTTCTCTTCATTCTTCCTACCATTTGTCATATATATTTTTGCATATATTTGTATATATTTTTAAAATGTTCATTTTTAAAGCCTTAATAAAATCTTGTATCCCCTATATGATGGAGTAATGGATAGCAGCTCAGATTGAGGAATCAGTTTAAAATAAATTACTTATGACATTGTGTTGTATCAAAATTTGGTTGGTGTGTAGTCACCACCCTGATCGAGTGTTACCAAATGGTTCCAAGGGTTTGCTTCATTGACATTTTTTTTACATCAAAAGATCTGCAGAAAGGAAGATTGATGGAATTATTACAAGCATAAATATGCCATGGTCAGATGAAGGGCAGATGTCCAAGTGGTGTCATAGAGAGTTTGAATTCCAGTCAAGTTCATTACATTCAGAGCTTACCCTTGGGAAAGTTATCTCTTTACTGTGGGTTAAATTGTAAGACCTCTATCTGGAAAAAATCATTGTTATTTCCCAAAAAGTTGTTAATGCAATATTCACTCTGAAAAAAAAAGCTATTCTTACAATCCCCCAAAATATATTTCAGCTTTAAATAACTCACAAAGGGGTGACATTCTGTAAAAAAAAAGAAAAAAGAAAAAAAAAAGGAAAACAAAAGTCATTCAATCAGTCAACAAATGAAGGGATGTCAAAGATCTTGTTTGAAAACCCATTGAACTGAGCTGATCAGTTGACAAACCAAAGTCAACATGAGAATTGGCAGTTTTAAAAAAAAATGAAGAGACACTTGTTAACAATTGTAAAACTAAAAGGATTATCATTATTAAAAGGATCATGATTAATAAAAAAGTTATCATTACTAAAGGGATTATCATTATTAAAAAAAGATACTAAAAGGATTATGTTTGATAAAATGGAATATCATTACTAAAAGGATCATGATTCTGAAATCATAAAACATTAATGAAAATTGCTGAACTGAAATGTACGTCTATGAAGATAAGATTGACAACAGACTGATTCTAAAGCTAATCAACCCAACACCAACAAGCAAGCCCAATGGAAACAGCGAAAGGGGATCTTGATAAGAAAGAATGGTTTAAGAATTTGGGCTGCTTGTGGTCAGCACTGCAGTCTTTTCCCAGCAAAAAGTGATGGTTCCTGTGATTAGCTTGGGTTGCAATTAGATCTAAATCTTCCAATTTTCTAATATCTGATTTTAATTTCATCAATAAAATTTCTGATTCAAAATCAATAAATGCTTCCTAACTACTCCTCAAAGTGCAAAAGAGGTGGAAAGTGAAATAATTTAGGACCCTTTCCTGTTCAAAAACACAGCTGTTCAAAATTATTTTTCACCAGAATGCATGATTTCCCTTGCATTTGATTGGCTCAACATGACCATGAACCAATCAAATAATGCCTGATCAAAAATATCTGCAAAATATTTGTGCACTAAGTCACCTAACTGATACAAAGCAGGAAAATTAAATAACCTCTGAACTTTTCAACAATTTGCTTGCACTCAGAAACCCAATAGTGAGTGACATGTTTAAATCAGTATGACTTCATTAACAGTTGTGACACTGATCTGTCAGCCCATGATCAACTCCCAGTTGTGGCATGAAACTGTAATATTTCTCCCACTGGCATTTTGGGGTTGACTCTTAGTCACTGCCACCAGCCTGTGTCCCGGTCGATCGGTGGTTGTCACTACCTGGCAGAATCCTTTGGTCAGGATACCAAGTGGGATGGTTGGTTGATGCTAACGGCTTCACACCAACTGCAACTGGTTCAACACCAGCTCTGTCATTTCCAGCTCACTTCCAATGTCTGGTTACTGAAGTAACTACTTCAACCTCAAGTCTAACCTACCCAGGTTGTGATTTTGATCTTAGGTA